GGAAGGATAATAAAATTCAAAAATAAAAACAACAGTGTCACAGAGCTCTCCGTGCACAAGCGTTCGTCACCGTATCCGCACAAGTTCCAATTGGTCATTTCTTCAAATCTGATTAAGAAGCTGTTGAACGTTCTCAACAGTCGGTCTAAAAGATATAAGTGTATGTAATAAAGTGATCTGCCATATTTCCAACCAAATATCGTTCAAAAAGTCCGGTTTGAATGGTTGCAAAAAATGACGTAAAATAAACTTTTTACATTAATGTGGAGGGACATGCTGGAATTTAGTATGTAGTCTACTCAGGTCAGCTTTCGTACCGATAGGGAACATTGTATCATTGGCTATAGCGGTGAGTAAAAAAGTCCAGTATGACGGACAAGAGGAAGAAAAGAAAAAGGAAAGTAATAACGGAAAAAATATGGTCATTTGAGTGAAAGAATCAAAACGAGTAAAATGTAGGACCGCTTGTTAAAAAACATACTCAATGAAATTTCATCCTCTATGAGACCCCTTATGGCTGATTTAAAGCGGATCTCCACCAGGGTTTCCCGGCAGCAAAGCGGGTGACTGGGTTTTGTTACACGCATTTTTATAATACAAAAGCTTTTAAGCAAAAAGTTAGTCCTTCGCGGTAATTAAACCTAAATTGTGTATGAGTGTAAGTGTGCAAGTCAAGACGAGACGAGCCAACCAGACGAGAGACACAATTTTTGTTAATCATATTACTATATTTAGGATTAATTTAGTTTGGTTTTTTTTGCAGGCACTTCATTTGCACCTCCCTAAAGAAGACTCAAGATAACATCAATAAGTAAACGAGACTAACTCACGTTTGCAAGTTAATTAAAATTTTTCTTGCAATGCTGTGCAGTGTGAATGTCATCTTTTACTTTACATTTCATGTCTTGGTACGTGCTTAGTCATACAGTGAAACGTTCCGTAAACGATAAGAGGGATTTGTCATTTGGCCTGTAGGCTTCAAGGTTGAAAATTTCGCTGCCATGGACCCATGCACCTCTTTTCAATCATGTATGATTTGAGGCGCCACGAACGCGCATTGTTGTATGCGTGTTCGAATAACAGGTGTTCAGAATTTTAGTTCCTCATAAAATAACGAAAATCGCAACAAAATCATGGAAAGACATTGACACAAACTGGACCTTGACAACTAATCGCATACGATTGTTGATTCAAGGTGGCTTTGAACCTAAACAGCAGATAGACTTTGTTAAGATTCTGAAATAAGATTGATATTGAAAGGAAAGTTGAAATTTGATAATACAAAAAACAGGTACGTCAAACTCAAGTCACAGGAGGGGGGGTTTAAAAATGGCTCTAGAGTAGCCATGATAACCTTTTTGTGTTCTGAAAATGATCAAAATCGGTTGAAAAACAGTTAGGCATTTTTAAATATTCTTGCCAGGAAACAATATAAAGGGCGTGGTAGTATCGATCCTTTAAGACATTTACTTTTGAATATGACGAAACGTCAGCCTAAAAAAAATATTTTTGAACTTTCATGCCCGGTAGAAGTGACGATATTCAGGATTGTTGAGGTCCGCCTGCGCATAATTGAAAATCTCTCGCCTTTCCACCAATATTACTCAGCATCAGAAGGGCTCCAACACCTGTAGACATTCCAGCATGTCTACAGTGTCTGGTACACTGACTGTGATCAATACCACGATGAGAATACAGCAATGATGAGCCATAAAATGCGCCGATTACTAATTCCAAACGAGACCAGACTAGATATGCTCTATCATATTACAAACACTGCTTGTGGGATGATTGATTTTATACGCCGGCTAGCCAGGGAACCATCAATTTGTATGCAGTCTCTAATCTAAACATTCCTTGAACGCGTGAATTAGTGTGATTGTCGTATATTTTTTGGAACGCGTTTAGCTTTAAGAACAGACTAATGTAATTAAAAGACAATTACGGGAAGACCTACTTCTTATGATTATTGCTTACAAGGATTACACTAAAACACAAAAATTTGATTTCAAAGAAACGGTGTGCGAAGGAAATTAAATGAAAAATTGTTTGGAATCCCAACCTGCACCCCAGAGAGACAAGCCGTATTTTCCTCAATACCGCCATCTCTCAGTTTGTTTGTGCGCCGATGACTTTGCCTTAAAAAAAGTAAAGATGTGGGGATGTTTCCTAGATATCTCTCTTTCTTTTGGTGAATACAACCATCAATCGTGGATAAAAGGTCATCAGGTAGTTCTCAAGCTCTCCAGCCAAACTAGCGAGAGAGGCCGGATAAAGACATGCGTTTATTTAAGGCTCTATGTGGCGATTCACCGAAGTACAAAACAATCTGGGCTCCTATACACGTAAATAGGCCCTTAAACATCGAAGGTACTGTTAAAAGTGCAAAATACTTTGCAAATATATCGCAAACACGTTCATACTTAATCAATAATATTTCAATAGTATTCTTTCCGAATCGTATGAGCGATGTTTTTGATATTTTTTTACATCGTGTCACAAAAACAAAAGAAAATTATGAACTAAAGTAGCATTGGGCAAGCAACTCAGAAGACGCCTGTTATTATTTTATCCAGGGCCTCTCGTCAAGTGTGTCATTTTACTATGCCCGTGCGTTCATCTGCAATTATCTGTTTTTCCGTGAGGGTCACGGTCAGCAAAATCATTTTGAGTCACCCTAATAGGCATTTTTTTTAATTTCCATGCCCAGAAGAAAGGACAATGCTTGGTAGGAAAAGAGTTTTATCGTCTGCCTGCACATGATTACTTTGATCGCTTTTTCTCTCGTTTCAGTGAGCATCACTTATATAATTACAGACCGTATGAGATTCCACTAGGTCCTGTGACCATCTTTTCATGTCCTGAATTAAATGACAGCTGAGCAGTTGTGACGCGAGAATTCAAGTTCCAGTTCATGCATAGGCCGTATAATAAAAGTTGGATGAACGATGCCGGAGATGTCACTCACCTTGAGGCCTTGAAAGTTAAAAATTTCGCTGCAAGAACCTTGTGTAGCACGACCCACACGACGATTCATTCATATTAAATGTCCGTGCGCTAATTACGCGTGCAATAATGTGCAATGATATATGACTCCGTGATACAATTGTAAGGTTAATATGTAGCAGCTACCAGTAAGCAGCTGATTAGTGTTTGTCTGAGATGTATAGTGCAGTATGGTGAGGACCTCGAAGGTAATTATTTCGTTGCAAGTGGCATCTTTTTTCATCATATTTTCATTTACCTATGAAGTTTTACAATCAGTTTTAAAGAGCCTCGTAGAAGCAAAAAAGAAAATTCACTGCTTGAGTTCTAACATGGGTATTAACCGATAGGGACAAATACTCATCAGAACAAAATTGATTCTGATTATATCGTGAAAAATACAACTGAATGGGGAAGCATATCTGCATACAGTAACTAATCAATTTCTTTCAACATGATAACCTCTCGCGAGGAAGAGCAAAAATATCGCGTTGGTCCTCGCCTTTTACAAGATTTAATATGAATTTCTAATTGAAACATCGATGATAACACGTTGTCTTTGTAACGCCCGTGATCCTCCCATCTATATCGATCATTACAAGCGTAAAAACTGACAGTGATGGTAAGGTATTCCGTCTTCCCTCATTTTTTCCTTACCCTAATGTTTATTGGGGTTTTGCTTGCTTCAAATGGGTGAGAATCGTCTTTACTGTCCTTCGAAATTCAATTTATAAGATTTAATGACAAGATTTCTACTTGAACATGTCATCGGCAAATGCATGTTTTTTTTCCGTGTAGTTGCAAGTTTCCCGGTGAACTGGAGAATGAGCACAAAAGGTAAACTGAAAGATTAGAGATTTATTGGGTCAAAATTTGGAATTCTAAGCTAACGAAGATGAGACGCGAATCCCAGTTAGGTGATGCGCTGCAGCCGCCTGTTCTTTCAGAGATTACTCATTAAATGAACTTTTTATTTTTTTAATCAGTGAGATCTACATATCCTTCTGAAATACAAAAGCGCTAAGAAATGTTTCTAGAAGTACAATGAATTTATGCTTTGTACGCAGGAGGGAGGGTCCAATTTAATCCTCAGTCTATCAATATTTGACTGAGCAAGGTTGTCAATACGTAAATCACTACCACAGAAGACAGTCCTCGTCAGGACCATGTTGAAGGCCTAGATGAAATAACTGACCTAAATGCAATAAATTCCTAAATGTAAAAACATTTGGTTCTTAATGTACTAAACCTTAAATGCAATCGCTGAAGCTAGAGCATTGTTGCTATAGCGGACATTCACATTGAGATGTTTAAGTGACAGCTGTTGCATCAAAGAATCCTCTGATCAATATTCATGGCATATTGCGGGCTCGCTGATATCAATTAGCGTCTTTTTGTTTGCTAGAGACGCAGGTCGAGAAGCATTGGCTACAAACCCTTACTGATGTGCTTTTGGCATCAAATTAACAGACGTCAAAACAATGAGAACGCTGACCAATACCTCTCTTGATATCATTGGCTCAGACTCTTTAGTAATAGATTTTGACGACATACTTGTGTGATTAGTGCTGAACACTTTATGAACCAAATTACAAGGAAAAGGAAGTCCACCGACCAATAAGAAAATATAAAAATTCCGGGCTCGCAAGTGCATTTTTGTGCTGTCTTCCCTTGCCAGATTTGCATAGGTCTGCATGAAATATATTCATATGTGTTATTGACCAAGCGTGAGGTCAAGAGTTCTTTTGTTGCGTTTTTATGGACCGAGACGAAGTCGAGGTCCGTAACAACGCAGAAAAACCAAATGTCAAAGGACCAAATGTTATTACATTTAGGACTTTATTACATTTAGGACTTTATTAAATTTAGGACTTTATTACATTTAGGAAAGTCATTACATTGAGGCCTTCAAGAGACTACTCTCATTCGGAATATCAGACTACACGATTGAACATTAAGAGAGATCTGAATGCCACATATCTTAACCAAAACTATTACTCGATCTTAGCCTAAAAGACAAGTTTATGGAGCTAAAGGGTGACTTGGAGGACACCCGTTCGGCAATAAGGGCAAAGGAAGAGAAAAACCAGTTGACGAAAGAAGTAAGTTTAATTACTCCCATGTTACTCAGATCTCTATCCTTTTTCTGATCATGATTTGAAGCTACAGGACTAGCTATGATAGACTTTCTCCATTCCCTATCACTATGTGCATTGCGTTTCTTTTTCTTTTTATTCATTCGGCACAGGTACTTCTGGAAAAGATGCAGACAATTCTCAACGAGTAAGACATTACTTTTAATAATATAATAATAATATGACGGCACAAAGGGCAAGTTAGGAGATGAAAAGGTTAGATATTTGTAGATACAACTATATGCCTTAAAAAAACAGCGGCGTGATTTAAATTTGTGCCTTAAAAAAATACATTAAACCTTTTCATAGAAAATATGCTCCACGCTAATGGATAAATGGTAACTCCTCTTTTCTCGAGGAAGGGGACTTAACCCTGTAACAAAATATATGTATCTACCGGTATCCGCGGTCGTTTTGTACCCAAACTCAGTCGATTCTCTCCCAGTTTAAGTCGGTTCGTACTGGTGGATTTGTACCCAAACCGCTGATCGATTCTTATCCTTTCCGGTTTATTCATGATAACTCACGTGAACAGTTGTCAATTGTTGCGTATAACATGTCAGTAGAATCAAGCGAGTAAGATACACACAAAATTCTGTTGGGTATACTTGAGACGAATACTAGCGCAAGGTTAATGTGATATTCTTGATAGAGCAGTCTATGTTTATACTAGCCTGCTGTACAGGCGTCTTATTAGGACGAGCTAACATTATAAGTTTGCGAACGTTTATCCGACCGGCCATGTTTGATTTGGGGTCAGGGTGGAGGGTGGGGGAAGGGGGCGGGGAAAGGGCGAGAAGATGCCTGCCCGAGGAGACTGTTGAAAACCAAAACACCCGCTGATTAGTTGCGCGTCATTGCATTTCCGAAAATGAGCTGGTAACCAATCAAAATGAGCCAAATTAGAAATCCCCCGACAGAAACAAATGCATATATAGCCGATGAGTGAAACGGTAAGGCAGTTTTTTTTTCAGCCATGAAAGAAATGGCTTCGACAAAACCTCCTCCGCAGACACAAATATGAGCTGATATTTGCTGCACACTACATTTTCTAAACGAAAATCCTCGAGTGTAGCTGCCGTTAATCTATTTGACAGTTTCCCTTCTATTTTATCGTAAACGAAACTTGGAAACAACAAACGACTGCACTCGAAGGTTACCCGCCATGATTTGGTTTGATGCAAACCAAAAATGGTTTCACCAAAACGTTTTCTGCTGACGCAAATACGAGTGGATATTTTCCACACTCTATATCATCCAAATGACAATCCGTGAGCGTAGTTACCGTTAATCTGATCGAAGATGTTCATTCCATTTAATCATTACCAGTACGTTAAGGCGGACAAACGACAACTACGCTCGCAGCTTTCCCGTCATTATTTCTTTCATAACAACCAACAATTGAAATATCAGGCTTTCCTAAAAGCCAGTTGGTAACACGCCCAATAGATCTCCTCCAAAAGCAGTGTAGAAGTTGCTTCTTTTTGTCCCGATCTTAATGCGCGAGGCAAATTAAATCCTGAAGGATTCTTAAGTGCTTTCCCTACGGCGGAATTGAAACTAACAACTTCATCATTTACAGAGTTTGCCATCTTTCGAATTTCCCCGAAAGAACAAAATGTCCAAATGACACACTTGGCTTGTGATTGACATCTGGAGCTTAATCTCTTAACCCCACTCCTCTCCTGAATTTTAACCGTCGACCGCCCCCTTAGGACAAATTTCTTTCTCTCCCCAGCCTTCCGCTGCCATTAAAATCTAAGATAGCGGCCATAATTTTCGTTAAGAAAATACTGAGCACTCGCTCGCCAAAATTACGCATGCTCTGCAGGCTATGTCTATAATTGTGACCTTCTTAACAGTAAAAGCTCGTGTAAGTGTGTTTTTTACCCTTAGTTCTCAACAGTTATAAATTCTTTTATTCTAACAAAGAGAAACAAACAAAATTAGTATTAACAGATAAAATGATAACAATTTCGATCCATTTTCGAAAGGAGTCTACTAACAAAAGGCCTACATTTTTACTTCATCATCCGTTCATTTGAACACTACAAACCACCAATCCAAAGTTATCAGTCAAGGAAAACTGTGGCCATCCAATATTACCACGTTAACAAATTTTATTTAACCCTGTAATATTTTAATTTACGACAATAAAACGACCTTGCTTTAAACATACTTAGCATGGAAAAAATATTTTGTTGGTCTGGGTACGAAACGACTCACCTAGCTGGATGAAAAACGACCGAGAGGGGGACCAAATGACTGGGTACGAAACGACCATCGGTACGAGACGACTGTGGGTACAAAACCGCCTGGGAACTCATGTATACATCCATTTTTCCTCAAACACAGAATTACAGCCTTGGAAAATGATATCCTACTGTTTATGGATAAACTGGATAATTTCTGTGATAGCTGCCCAACGGTATGATGACCCTTTTTCAGTTTAAAAGAAAACTGTTTGTAGTACAGTTAACGCCCAATCTAAATGGTTTAGTCGCATAGGCTCTTTCAACCACGAGATTCAGGTTAAGCGAGAAAAGATTACGCAGTATTTCAATTTCATAAATTGATTACAACCTACGTGGAATCCGTTGTTTTTGGAGGCTTATTTTTTTTTGACGAATCAGAACGTCTAACGAACTATAGACAATAATTATTAATTGCCTTATGACAAAATCTGTAAATCCGACGTCGTGTTTCCTTGCTTGGGTTGTGACTCAATGCGCTCTTCGAGCAAAAACTTGGTTACTCCATCGAAGTGCAGTCATTTCATTAATTTACCAAGAAGGTTGACAAGCACTTAAGTTAAGTTAAACTTTATTTTGCTTTGTTCATTCACAGGACCGTTGCCAATTTATTTCAGGTCGAAATAGCAACCGGTGAGTGGTATCACAATTATACTACAATGATTTATGTAACACTAAACGCTTTCTTCATACCAATTGCACTGTATCCTTAGGATGAAATTTCCACTTATTGGACTTTCGTCGAACTTTCATCCTACGAATGAGGTGGCTGACAGAATTTTGTATGTTGTAGTCAAAAAACGGTGTTTTTCATAATCAGCAAATCCTAAACAAAAAGGAAATTAAGATTAGCAGCTGACTTCTGTTTCAGCAAAGAATAATGCCCATTGACTTAAAGACCATAGTTGCAGAGCCAATCAGTGGCCAATAAATCATAGGAAGACAAATATTTGCTCTATTGGTATTGAGCTGACTGAAATTTACCAAGAAGGCATTAACTTTCTTTTGTTGCGAAACTCGTGGATTTTAAAACTTTGAAACGACGTACGATGAATCCTGGAAACCGGAGTTTGAGTCCATTGGCAAACTATGCCGGCTGGTCTCATGAGCAGATCAAGCCCTGACGACATTTGACAGCTTTGAAATTTTAAGCAGATGCAAAAATTGTCATGACACAATTTGTCGCTCAAAACCGTTGTGGTCCATAACAGTGTAACATCATTAATGATGAAAACAAATTTGCAGAAAGGAGGGCCAGTTCATCGGGTTCCGTGTGCTAAATCTGGGGAGAAACTGCAAGAATTCTTTCAGAGTGTATACGTGTTGTTTTGTAATATAAACACTATAACGTATTTTAACTCCTTTGAAGCAACGCGATATGTCTGTAATGACCAGAGTGCCGAATTTTATTCTTTGATTTTATTTGAATTTTATTCTTCTCCTTTTCATCTCCACACTGAGCGTAGTTCATAATCTCATATTTCAGCGTAAATTATCGAGAAGGCACCTTCTGATCACCTTTGTTTACTTTGTTAGTCACGCAAGCGCGCAAGTGTTACGACCGATCACGTTTACGCACGTTTTAGGACAACTCGGCATCTATTCTCCATTCGGCTGTTATGGAAACCTAAAATCCTCAACGTAGAAGATAAACGAACGAAGTTTGAACGGTCAAAAGGAGATCTTTGCCAATTTTCAGTATTATGCAAATACTCTTTGACACGAGCCCAATTGAGCAAACATATGGATTTGCGTTGTTTTTAAGATGTTGGTGGATGGAAGCTTGAGATATACCCGCGAGTTTGAGGCTATCCTTGACCTCATTGGTGTATAAACTATGCACTGATATGCTTCTTCAGCCCGATTAAGGCTTGCATTTTGAGAATTCTTTGGTACAAATTAATGAATTTTTGATATGCAAATTAAGGTCGAAGAGAAGGGTCTCTTCTGATCACGCTGGTACAAAAATATTTTTGATGATGTCTGCATATTTTGTTTTTGGACTAACTGAATACATCTTGTAGCAAGATAGAATTCCATGAGCTATATCATTGCAGTCGTTGCGCGCTGGACAAAATCTGTGAAATTTACACTTTCGATCGCTGTCCACAGGGGTGGTCTGGCCAAAAATCATTTTTGGCTTGTGACGCAAAAAAAGAGAATTGGAGAACAACTAAACTATTTTTGAAACATGTGTCCTAAACCCTTTTCATGGGCCAAAAAAAAAAAATTTTCCGACGGGAAGTCGAGAGGACCGCTCTTAGCGAGAGAGCGGCACTTAAGTAAAAAAGCCCTCGAACAAAACATGCAGACAAGGAAGAACTTAAATTGAATTCAGCTTTAAACTGAAAATTGAAACTTGTGTATTTGGGAAAGTATAATGCTTTTGAAATATTCCAACAGACTGGAGCGGTTGAAGAAAGTTGGTGGCATGATGAAGGAGCGATACGATAAAATTGAAGCCGAGGAACCTGCTAAGGTACAGCTTTTGTAGGACGACAGTATGCGTTCAAATGCAAAATATGTTTTCTCGTCAATATGGGTTAGAAGCTTCAGTTTATAGCAAAATGAATGAAGAGTTCTGATCATGAAGAAACACAATATTAATTCAAGTAACAGTAACAATAATAATAACAGTGCAGAACTGAAAAGGTGAAAACTATTACCTTCGAAAGTGACACGAGGTTTATGTAAGAAACGAGAAACTGTTTTGGTAATCAAAACTGAAATAAAAACTCTTGAAAATCTAAAAACTGATCTAAAAACCTTTACTTTCAACATGAGAAAGAATTCAAGTTAGTACTTTATCCCAATTCAAGCGAGGAAAATGTTCCTTAACGACTTGCCCCAAGGGAAACAATTTTAATTAAAATTTCGTTCCCCGAAAAACTCCAAACATTTTTAAAATCGTATCATTTCAGACTTAATTATTGAATACCGAGTCGTGATATTTTGTTCCTTGAAACAGGCGTTATTGACCGCAAGGCATTATACAGGTGGAAAAGACTATCTTGGTGCTCTTGGATGAATAAAACAAATGGTAAACAAGTTGATGAAAATACTTTTAATTAGAAGAAAGTGATGGCCCCTAAATTCAGTTACATAGAGCCACTATTTATCCGTCTAGACAAATCTAGTTACCAAACAACACTCTTTTGACGTCATAAACCCTGACAGGAGGTTAAAAGTCTCGTTTTGAATCGACTAAAGGCTGAAATAGAAATTATGAGAGGCTGTTTGCTCATGACATTTGTCTTACTTTATATATTTCTCAACAGATATCTTTGGATCTGATGGCGCTTTTGCTTCTTAGCTGTGTGCTACGTTTTTGCTTCATGATCATCTTAATAAGAAATAAAATAAATTTGGAGCTTATTGCTGCTTCTAATTTCTTAATGCTTTCTACCATTACCTGAGATGCAAAAGTAACAATTACCTTTCGGGGGAATCTGCTTAGAAAATTTACAAAAAGCAAAGAGTTGAACCTACGACCTTCCAACGTTTAGTTATTACCAAATAACTTTATTAAGTATTTAAGAGGAGATTAGATTATTGTCGAGTGGGAATCCAATAAGTGTATGCCTTCCAGGGAGTCCCGCAGCAATAAGAGTAAGCCATCAAAACCGGAATTTAGTGCATTGGTCGCGGTTTTGTTATGGCATCGCTCAATATAAAAAGTTTACTCGCCCATATTGACGACCGTAAGATATTTATGAGAGGTTCAAAAATCCATATATTGTGTGTATACAAGCGTGATAGTACATCAATGATTCAGAAATATATCTACCGGGATTTGACGTCGTTAGAAGGGAACGTGCCGTGAACGGGAGATCTGGTGGCGGTGTATGTATTTATTTACCAAACAACATAAATTACCATGTCCGAGAAGACTCCAGTGATGATCAACTGGAATGTCTTGTTATCGAAATCACCGGACCGCATTCCAGATCTTTTTTTAATAAATACATAGTGTAGACCGCCAAGTTCCCAAAAATAAATTTTTAATCAATTTGAAAACCTGGTAGATAAAATTGATTCGGAACGCAAGAATTTATTCCTTCTTACTCGGAGACCTGAATTGTGACATGTTGTAAATAGATAGATTCGGACGCTACTGTTTTTACTGAAGATTTTTCATCGAGTTTAAATAAAGATACAAAGCTTAGGCATCAGATATCGACATCCCTATACTAAAAGTATGCAGGAAGTTTGTCACCATGAACCTATTTCAACAACCATTTTCAAAGAGTTCTGGAGAAACAAGGAAACATTTCAATGACAAAGAGTTGCAACGTTTTCAATTCATTCCACACCGCCACACACGTAATGAATTACACCTAAATCGAAGAGATCTATGATTGATTTGAGGTCTGTGTTTCAAATTCGCTGCATGTGTATTAGTGTTCGATTAATTTCCCCCACGATATTACAAATACTCGTCAAGGTTTAATTGCACCTAATTATATCTTAAACAAAAAGAATTGCAAGGGGAAGTGTGCGTGCATGTGGAATCTAGCAATCGATTTTTTTCATCTCCAATAACCTCTTGCAAAGCTTATTTAAAAACCATCCGTTGGTCTCAGCTTTGTTGTCCAATGATTCTAAACATAGCAAATCGAATTTAACAAGTTGTCTTATTTAATGCAGGCGATCCTTTCGGCCAAAAAGTGTGTAGCTAACAGGTGTAAGAACTGAGCGTGATGGTGTCCTGCACTGTGCTCCGTTGTTTTTGCCTTACCCTTATGTTTGTTGTTGTTGCGCTTGCTTCAAATGGGTAAGAATCTTCCTTTCTGTCCCTCAAAATTCAAGTTATTAGATTTACACACTGGATTTCCACTTAATTATTTCACCGAGAATTGTATGTTCTCTTTTCCTAACCAGGTGCAAATTTCCCAGTGAACTGGAGAATGAACACAAGAGGTGAACTGAAAGAATATCACAGATTTCTAGTCTATATGAAATAAATCTAAGCTTATATAGATAACACGCGAATCCAAGGTGGATGACGCCCGCAGCCGCTCATTCTTCCAGAAATTATCGTTTGAAAGAACTTCATCTTTTATCGTCTGAAAGATCCGCTTATTTTCCTAAAGGAAATAATTGCCAGAAAATGTATATAATAGATGGTGGATACAGTCAGTTTTGGCTTTTTGCTTTAATTTTTCTCTTCCCTTGAGCTAAAATATTTTTCTCCGCCAGGGTTCAAGGAAAGGAGAGCGTAAATTTGGCCTGCGAGTTTCAGATTTCAATCATTTTCCTTTATAATGTAGGATCGAAACTAATTAAAAGAACGTCATCAGAGAAAACAGTTATCTTAAATTGCAACAAAATTGAGCTTTGGTCGCCTAAAAGATAGTTCAGTTTTTTCTCCATCAAACACTAAAAACTGAATAAAAAAGGTTTATTTGCAAAGAAAGTGGTTACTTAAAGGGAGAATAAGGTGAAGGGTTTGACTCTGATGATGACTTTCACTAAGGTTGTCGAAGGATCAGTCCGCACTCCCTTCGAAAACAGTGTCTCTCAGGATTGATCTCACCAGGACGATAAGGCAGGACGTTCCAGCTTTAAGAGAACGTTGACTGCACCATAATCATAATTAACCAAAATTGTTCATCGATCTTAGCCTGAAAAGCAAGTTTAAGGAGCTTAAGGATAACTTGACGAACACCCGCTCAGCAATAAAGGCAAAGGAAAAGGAAAATCTGTTGACTAAAGAGGTTAGTACAACTTCTACCCTATTGATAAACTTTGGTTGCTCAGATCATAAAGAAACAGGCCCAACTGTTATAGAGCTTCTCTATCCTCTGCTTGTTAATTATGTCTGTTAAGTTGTTATTGTTGTTAGTTTTTTTCCTTTTTTGGTTTTCAATTTTTTGACGATACAGATACTACTGGAAAAGATGCAGGCAATCACCACCAAGTAAGACATTGTTTTCATTTATGTTATTTGCGATGGATTCTTTATCTCTGAATTGGTGAGATCTTCAAGGAACAGTTTGCACATCGTGAGAACAAATTACGAAGATTAAGAGGGAAAACAATTTGCAGATATGCTTTGCTAAGGTCTGGTTCGAATTCACGCCTTTATGACTGACTGTTGATTGAGACTTAAACTTTTTAACTCCGTAGACATAGTGGGTAAGTTGTAATGCTTCTTTTTTAAGGGAGGGGAGTTAGTCTAAAAGTAAAATGTATGCATCCACCTGAAGTGACTTTCCTTTCTATCAAACACAGCATTGTGGCCTTGGAAAATGATACTCAAGATTTCATGGACAAACTGGAAAATTTCTGTGATGTCTGCCCAAAAGTATGTGATGTTTTAGAGGCCAATTTTTTAGCGAGTCGGGAAGGCCAACAAACGAGAAACACTGTTGAATAGCCTTTTTTGCATATCCCCGTGATCGCTCTGCCATGCTTCATTGCGCTCCTGGGTCAAAAATTTTGTGGCTCCATCAAAACGCGTCCATTTTATCGTTCGGTGCTTGACCCAATTACCCAGCTTTTCTGGTCAAGATGATTAACGAGCTCAACCTTGATTTAGATACCGCCAAGATCAATATCAAGGTTTACTTTATACAAGAAAGTGTATTTTGTTTTTCGCTCGCACTGATTATGTAGTTCGCAAGTGATTGACAAGTTCTATTTATCTCGAAGCAGCTGAAGAGACAAAATTGCGTGTGAATAATTTGACTCCCGACCATTTTTTGGTGTAATGACAGAAATAAACTAACTTTTTGTTTCTGTGTGGTATGTTATAAACTTCAGTGGCGAGGTAAATATCCACAACTTTCACCGACACTAAAGTGAAAGTTGTGGATATTTACCTCGCCACTTCGCGTCCCGGTTAATATCCACTACTATTCACTCCCAGTTCACAGAACAAGTAATGATTTTTTTCTTGCCCATTTACAGGATCGTTGCCAGTCCATTTTGAATCGAAATAATAACCGGTAAGCGGAATCCCACTGTTCAGCACCAGAAAAGTACCATAATTATGCCGGATTCAGGCTAGTTGCAAACCATCTTTTGGTTTTAATTTCTTTGTAGTAGGCTATAATACCAAAAAAAATATTCCTCGATTGAGGTAGCAAGCAGAATAGTGCACGAGAGATTTTGATGTCGCCTCAAAACCGGTCTTGAGAAAAACAGTGAATTCTGGTAATTATTGCTTTGGGAAAAACAAAAAAAAAAGAAGAGCGGAATAAAGGTTGGCAAGTGTTTACCAAGGAATAATGCCCATTGCCTCACAGACCATAGCGGCCGAGCCAAACATCTACTGATATGTTTTGGGGAAAACGTTTGGTTGTTACGTGTAAACTGGGAAGTACTAAAATCAAATGCAACTTGCAACCGAAAATAGCCACTTATTTAGTATAATAATGATGCTTTTGCAAAATTCCAACAGCCTGGAGCGAATGAAGAAAGTTGGAGATATGATTAAGGAGCGATACGACAAAATCGACGCCGAGGAGTCTGGTCAGGTATGCTAGTGAAAAGCAACAAACAATACGAAAAAATACTACATATATGTTTTGTAAAGTAACACCGGTAAGGAGCTTTAATTAGTATAAGAAGTAATAACAGAACAACAACAACAGTAATGACATTAAAAATAATGATACTAATAATAATAACAATTATCTAAAGGCGCGCTACTTTCTACGATTGGTAACTGATTTTGATTAAACGCTACAAAATACTAGAAATTGGAATTTTAACAACTCTCTAGCACTGATTCAGACTCCGTATTTAATATATTTTGTTTCATTTTCCAATGATTTCTGTTTATGATGATGACTGATGATTGAATGTAAGAGAGTCGTGTTATTTCGTTTTCGTAACAGGTGGGATGGAGCGAACATCATTATACAGGCGGTAATGACTACCTCTTCGCCCTTGGCTAAATGAAGAAAAAGGGGCACTGACAAGGGTAAGCAAGTTATCAACAGTGCTTTTAGAAACAAGAATAAAAAGCATTGGACGACGTCCCTCACAACAAACGTTTTCGAAGAAAATAAGCAACACCTTTTACATTAGTAG